ATTATCATGAAATTTCTGATTATGTTAAACTTATAAAAATGCCAAGTTGCTTTTGAATATTTTCTTTTTTTGAATGCCTTCAAATGTTACTCATAAAACTGTTACAAATGATCAAATTAATATTGATCTAAATAAAATGTATCTATACTCACGTTGTTCAATTTGAATAAGCATTTCTTTGAAAAAAAAACCCAATCAATGTGCTTAGTTTCTTTGAGGTGTTAGTTTTATTTTGTTAAATCTTATTTAAACTCGTCCAAACTAATTTCTTGGGGAAAACTCCAAAATGATTACGATTTATATGTATAGTCGAAGATGGCGGTGAGAAATGACGATGGGTCGCGTTTATGTGCTATGTCTGTGTGGTGGTTAGTGGTGCGATTAGACTTCATTGATCACATGAATAAACCAATTGGCTCCATGTTCGAATTGTCAAACAGTGTTGTCGCTACCACATCGGATCAGTTCGATTTTTCGATTCAACTTTAAACCTTAGCTTTGAGGTTTTTCTATGAGCTTAAAATCAAAGACTTTTCCGAAATTTTATTTTTGAAGATTTATTTAATTTATTTGGAGATTCAATAAAATAATGAGTTTTTGAAAATTGAAACTGAATTGGTAAAAAGTATCGAGTAAATTTTGATGATTAATTTTTTGTGGAGTTTTGATTTAAAAAAATTTCAAATGTTAAACTTAATTTCGTTGTAGTTCTTAATTTTAATGTTTTTGGTCATTCAGCTTCCGAATAATCTATCTCGATGGAGTCCAAAAGTGACCAACACTTCACCACAACTTACGATCTATTTTAACGAAGTATTCATCGTGGATTGATACGCTCCATTGGGCGCCTAGTCGATTTTGTAAATCTTTGAATTCATCCTCGTTTTCTAGTTTAAAGCCATAGCGCAGCAAGTTGAATTTGCCCATGAAGTCGAGGATTTCATCAGCCGAAAACCAACCAGCAAAGTTGACGATTTCCCTCAACAGTGGCAACTCTTGCGCGATCGCAGTCATGGTGCTTTCCTTGATCTCATAGTATTCCGACATCAGATGAACCTTTTCAATGGATTTGTTCTTCTTGAAAAACTTCGACCATTGGTATGTGTCCGCCAAATCCACAAACAATCCAAACTCCAATGTGATGTCCTTGAGGCGATCAAACATTATCTTTGATTTCATCACATCTAGATCTCTGTCATATTTTATGAAAATATGCAGTTTTTCCAACGCACTAAAATGAACCGTGTCAGAATATGAGAAGAGTTGATCGTTGTAGCTCAGAACATGCAGACATTCTAGTTGGGTAATCGACTGACATGCGCTCCAGAAATGTATGGGTAGAACAATGCCTTCAAGAAATAAGGTTCTTAATTGTGGATTGAGCTGTAGCCAAGCCAAAATGATGTCGGGTGAAAGGTATCGGGTGTCAACAATGGCCAAGTGCTCCAATTTCGGTAGATTCTTGACGGTGTAATTTACGTTCGCAAATGAACACCATTTCAAGGCCAATTGCCGCATCGCTGGAAAACATTGGTTAAAATCGATACAATCAGCATACAATGGGCAGTTGATGAGATCAACAACTTCCACATTTGAAAATTGATTTTTTGGCAACCAATCAAATAAAGACTGTTGAATCCGGATGGCAACCAATGAAGTGAAACAGTATTCGTTAACGTAGCTCATCAATTTCTTGCCGAATTCTCCAGAAGGTTGGATATCCAGCTTGGTGATGGAATGACCAAAACAACGCAACAAACGCAACTGGGTTTTCTTATCGTTAATCCGAATGATATTGGTGTCCAGAATGAAATAGCGATCGTTGTGTAATTCGAATTCAATCTTGCCAAATTTACGCTTGAATGCCATGTCAGCGGCCTGCTTCAGGTCTTTGTTTGTATGTGCAATGTTCAAAAGATCTCTCACCGTCAAATGCACGAAAATTTGCTCGAGACAATCGTACACAACATCCAGGAGGTTCGTCCGTAGGGGATTGGGTCCCAAATTTGCCATTTGATCAGCCATTTTCTGCAACAAATTCAAATTACTCAAATTAACCTTCGAAAAAAAACGTCCAATTGCGTACTCTCACCAACACCACCACATTTTCATGCAAACAAATTTCTTTCAGTACTTGAGACTAAGGCATTGACAACAATTACTACATTTTGACATACAATTCTACAATTAGTTTTTGGAAATGTTTTCTTCACCTAATAGCCAAGTTGTTAATTTGATACCATAAAATCGAAATAAAATTGATTAGCACTAACGAAAGGAAAAGTATCCTTCATTTGTTTTCTTGTAAACTTTTATTGAGCGTGTATATTTCCATCAAATCGATGGAATAAAAGAATTTTCCAAATATATCGTTCAGTTTGCTTGTATTCTCGCAGAAATTATGAGCTCATCTCAAATTATTTTGATATTTTATATGACTGAAAACTTCAACTGTGTTAAAAAATCTTACCCTTGCAGCCTTTTTCTGCTCCTGAAAAATCGTTTAGATTTCAATATTTTTATGTGCCAACTTCGTTGAATGTTGGATAAACTAAATTCTCTTTTTTTCAAATATTTTGTATGCGTCGGAAGTTGTAAATTGGGTAAAGTAACAAAACGATTTCAGGTTTGCTGTTTGTATGTCCAAAAGATGGCGGAGACAAATGAGAACGTATTGATATTTTGGCGCCTTACCAAATGTCGGTGTGATTGTGTGCCTGGTTCTTCATGTTGCACACACAAACACATCAATGACATTTTCGAAATGGTAGTGTTATCGCTATTAAATCATTTTGAAAAATTGGAAATCGAAAATATGCAATGAGGAAAGATTGAAATACAATAAAATTGAAAATAAAATCCATAGAGAATATTTGCTGTTTGAATTAAATTTTATTGTAGCTTTGAAGCCTAAACGTTTAGTTTACTCTGAATTCAAATTACAATTTTATTTTTCATGTGATTTGTTTCGTTCAATGTCCGGTTTTAAGCAAACAAATTCTAGATAAGAAAAATTTGAATATTGGAATTTTATTATTGGACTTAAGCTGGTAACTTCGATTGAGTTCAATATTAAACATATAACTTTCTGAGTTTTCTCTACAAATGAGGAAAAAAGTAATAATTTTATAAATTTGAGGAATATAAGTTCCTTTCAATTCTTAAATTTAATGTTACCGGTCGCTCAGCTTTTACACGGTTCACCATTACAATTTGCGATTAACTTTGACATGGAAATACTCCTTTGATGCCTCCCATTCTGCGCCCAAGCGCTTTTTTAAATCGTCGAATTTATCCATGTCTTTCAGGTTGAAACCATAACTCACCAAGTTGAACTTACGAACGAAATGAAGTATTCCATCAACCGAAGACCAACCAGCAAACTGGACGAATTCCTTTAACAGTGGTAATTCTTGTGCAATTTCAGTCGTGATGGTTTCATTGCTGATTATGTCGACTAAGCCATACGATTGCAAATGGACTTTTTCGATAGATCGATGCTTCTTGAAGAAGTTTGACCATTGATATGAATGAAGCAATTTGAGTGGCACATTTAAATTCAATGTAATGTCTACAAGATGATCAAATGCAACCATTGATAACATCAAACGTAGATCTCTGTCATTGTTAATTTCAATATCCAGTTTTTTCAACGCAGGAAAGTTGAGAGCAGTGTCAACATGTTCGAAGACGGCATAAGAGCAACTCCCGATCCGAAGACATTCTAATTGTTCAAGTTTTTGGCATGTGTTCCAGAAATCTTCGGGTAGAACAATCCCATCTAGAAATAAGCTGCGCAATTGTGGATTATTTTGCATCGAGATGCAAATATTTTCGGATGGGATACGGCGGTTGGCATGAATTGTCAAATATTCCAATTTTGGTATGTTCCCCACGAAAAATATTCTCTTAGAAAACGTAGAATAGCAGGTCAATTCCAAGTGATGCAATGCCGGAACAATGCTATAAAATTCGTATCTGCATACGATCTGTGTCCGGTCAATTGAACAACTTCGATGTTTGAAAAAGTTTTCTTCAGCAAGTTGTTTGTGATGCACAACTCACAAATCCGAACGGCAACTAACGAATTGAAACAGTATTTATTTGCATATTTAATCAACTTTTGGCCCCAATCACCAGTATGCCATATATCCAGATGTGTGATCAAATTACCAAAACAACGTAACAAACGCAATTGGAACTTCTTATCAGAGATATCAATTGAATTGTCTAGTAAATTATTAAAACTACCAATATCAGTACAACTGGCGTATGTTTGGAAAAAAATGCGCACCTTTTTGCTTAGTGAAAATTTCATCTTTCCAAATTTACGTTCGAATGCCATGTCAGCGGCCGGTTTCAGTTCTTTGTTTGTATCGGCAATGTCGAGACTCAAAAGCATAAAGATTCGCTCAAGACAATCATCGATCACATCCGTCAGTTTCATTGTATTTTTTGCTGGGCCTTTATGATCGTCAGTTCGTGAGCGCTTTGACTCCGCACATATGCTTTGGCCCTCAATATTAATAGTCAAAATGTTGACTTCAAGCAATTTGTTTTTAATTTTTTGTAGTTTTACTCACCGTCGTGGAATATATTGTAACAATAACAGAAAATTGATTCAAGTTGTATGAGTTTTTATTTTAATTTCGTTGAAAGTTCTTCAAGCTGAATATTTGTCGAGAATACGATTTAATTATGTCAAAAATGTACTCCACATTTTCAATGCATACAGTTGATAATGTTAACGAGAAATGACAACTCATAAAAGAGTTTGTGCTGTGTCGATGTAGTTGTACGATTACGCCACAGTGCAGTGCACACAAAAAAGACCAACTGAGTCGATGTCCGAATTGGCAAACAGTGTTGTCGCTACCATAGCGGAACAGTTCGCATATTCGATTTGTATTTTAAACAATTGTTACTAGGTTTGTTGTTTGGCGATGAATTCAAATTAAAAAGCCACTACTCGTGCACAGTTTTTCAATGAAATAAGAAGCTTTTGAAGATTAACAATTTATTGAGTCGCAATATTGTTTATTATTATAGATGTTGAAACTTGTTGAAAATATGGTAATATTTTGTAATATTATTAATTGTATATGACAATTGGACACGTATGACAATTAACTGACCTATGACGTTTGGACAATGCATTATTAATTTATTAAAAACCTTCTCGGTTTATACACTCAACCTAACCAGACGCGTTCTATTGCAACGCTTTGAAAACATATCTCTTTTTACAGTCAGCAGTTTTTTTTTATTATAAAAGAACTCAACGTTGAAAAATGGGAGAAAAGTTATTATTCTATTTGATGAATCTGTCCTTGAAAAATATTAAAATTGTGCAGTAATTACGATTTAATTTTTAAATTAAATGTTGCTGATCGCCTAATGTCTAAACTGTTTGTATTGAAGAATTATGGAAGTTAACCGTCACAACTTGCGACTGACATTAATAACAAAAGCAGCCCATGCATCATCGATTGATGCAGTCCATTCTACGCCTAGACGCTCTTTCAGGTTATAGAATTCATCCACATTTTCCATTTCGAAACCATAGCTCATCATATTGAATTTTCCGATGAAACGAAGTATTTCCTCAACTGAGAAATCACGACCATAAAGGATGAATTCGTTCAACAATGGCAATTCTTGTGCAGCTTCAGTTATGATGGTTTCGCAAATGTTTATGTCGGTTTCATAAAACCACAATGTCATTTTTTCGATCAATTTATTTTTTTTGAAGAAGTTTGACCATTTGTGTGAGTTAATCGATGGCAACCAACCACTATACATGCATTCCAATTTGATTTCTTTAAGTTGACCAAACGTTATCTTATTTTTTTCTGATGTCATCAAACGCTGATCTTTTTTTCCAATGTTAATATCCAGTTTTTCCAACGTAGGTAAATTGATCGGGATGTCAGCATGTTTGAATTTGACACAATATATACTATCGAATCGAAGAGATTCTAGTTGGTAAAGTGTTTGGCATATGTTCCAAAAATCTTTGGGTGGAACAATACCAATCAGGGATAAGCTGCGCAGTTGTGGATTACTTCGTAAGGTGGTGCAAATATTTTCGGCTGATATACGGCGGTCGCAAGTCATTTCCAAATGTTCCAATTTTGGTGTATTCTTCACGATTAATGTTTCCTCAGTAACCGTAGAACATTTAAATAAATCCAAACGACGCATTGCCGGAAACAATTTTTTTAAATTCGTATCTGCATACAATTGGCAACTGCTTAATGAAACAACTTCAACGTTTCGAAATCGTTTCTTTAGTTTAAATTTGTTTTGTGAAAAACCACAAACAGTTTTTTCTCCTAGTTTATTTAGAAAGTTATTTCTGGTGAAATCAAAGTGCATAATCTTGATGTCAGTTAGCGAATTGAAACAGAATTTATTAGCATAGCTAATCAGCCTCCTACTAAATACACCAGGAGGTCGTAGTACCAGCTTGGTGACCGAATGACCAAAACACCTCAACAATTGCAACTGGGTCTTCTTATCGTTGATTACAATGTGTTCACCGAGTTTTATAGCGCATTGAAATCGATCTTTGTCTAGTTGGAATTCCATCTTTCCAAATTTTCGCCGGAATGCCATGTCTGCGGCCGGTTTCAGTTCTTTGTTGGTATCGGCAATGTTCAAGAGGTCTTCGAGACTCAAATCCATAAATACATGCTCAAGGCAATCATCGATCACATCCGTCAGTTTCATTGTATTTTTTGCTGGGCCTTTATGATCGTCAGTTCGTGAGCGCTTTGACTCTGGCTCATTTCTTTCTTCTGGTTGTGGTTGTACCCTTTTTCGTTCAGCCATGACCTATAAAAATGGTAAAATATATGACGTCACTATCGTGCATTCTCAAAATGAATTTTTTTTTTCACTATTTAAGGTTAAGACATTTGTTGCAATTGGTACACCCATATATGCACATATGCTTTGGCCCTCAATATTAATAGTCAAAATGTTGACTTCAACCAATAAATCTAATAATCTAATTTAAAAAGTTTAATATTTTGATTAATAATTCAAAATTGGAACTGAAAATGGGCTAAATTGCAATCAACTCAGATAATTTCCAAAATTAAAATCACCTTTAGGAAAAAACCGTATGAACTAATGTAATTTGTTTTGTATTTTTTATAGCTTTACTCACCGTCGTGGAATATTTTGTAACAATAACAGAAAATTGCTTCAAGTTGTATGAGTTTTTATTTTAATTTCGTTGAAAGTTCTTCAAGCTGAATATTTGTTGAAAATATTATTTAATTTTATCAAAACTGTACTCCCAATTTTCGGTGCATACTCGTGAAAGACTTTGTGCTGTGTCGATGTAGTTGTACGATTACGTCGCTGTGTATTGCACACAAAAACATACCAACTGAGTCGATGTCCGAATTGGTGAACAGTGTTGTCGCTGTTTGGATCAGTTTGCATGTTTGAATTAAATTTTGGTGTTAAGCTTAGAATTTTACGTGAATTCAAATCAAAAGGTTATTTAAAACAAAACAAAATATGAATTCGGAAGCACTAAAATACTGCTTATATTTTATCATGCTTAACAGAATTATTTACAAAGATAGTAAAGTTAAATGGCTGTTATATGGTTTTTTTTGTGGCAACGATTTCGATTAAATTATTCAATTTGCCAAACGGATCGAATGACATGATATACGTATTGGGCTGAACTGTCAAACTGTGTACCTTAAATGACGACACACACAAGCGTCTGACCGTTGTTTTATCACATAAACATCGACTTGTTGTACATCTCTCGAACATGCATACCAGCCCAAATCTGTACACAGACACGACGACGCTTGTGTTTTACAGTTTTTTATTATTATTGAGCACGGTCGCATTAAGTACAGTAAAAACACATAACGCGTTGCGTATCGGTCCCGTGAATACTAGAATTTATTGTTTTTGTGATTTTCTATTGAATTTATAAATAATATTGTTGTACGATATTAAGTAATCGTTTGATATTGATTAACATAAATTTAATACGAAATACGTGAATTGTGTGAGAAGAAAATGTCATCAACAAAGGTGAATTCAGTGATACAATCAATTTCTTTGCTTATTGAGTTTATTTTGAAGTGTCGAAGTGACTTGCGATAAAAATATTATATTTTTTATGCTAATTCTGCTCTTTTCTTATTGAGTAGGTTAAACATGATTTATTTTGCTGGCATTGCAATTCCGATGGAACCACGATAAAATGCAACAATTGTATTCGGTCATTCCACACGGCTTGTGAGAACAACGATGGACAGAGCCAAGCGGAGAATTGGCAGTGTTCAGTTTGTGACGCAGTGGACGCTTCTAAGGAAACGGATAAGTAAGTTTTGGTTCCTTTAAACAATGTTATTGTTGTCGTATATGAGTGATATTTTGTCGTTGAGTGCGGTTTTTGTGTACATGCTTTCAATTGGTATAATCACACTCTTGCCCGTGGCATGACTGTCATTTTGCTTACACAGGAAAAATTGGTGAATGTTCTGCGTCCTCTTGCAGGCACTATGGATCGATTTGGAACTACCGTAATTTAATCATCGATCAAGGGAAATAAAATGGCAAAAAGAAAATTGCTTTCATGTTTTTGTAGAAACGGTCCAGCAATTTAAAAAATCTTATCCAATCCGTGATATTTTTTGATTTTGAAAGATGTTTTTGAACAATTTCAGACCATCAGACGTGAAAATGTTGTCAGTGATGATCAAAGCAGTGTGGAATTTGAATACGGTAAGTTTTATTCTGATCAGATTGATAATTGAGTTTTTGTCTTGTTAGACGGAGAATGATTTGTTCACTGATGGAGCACGGAGAATTTGTTCTTCTAAATAAAAACCATATGGGGAGAGTTGTGAGAAGGTTCTACAGCGGAGACGATCCCGAATATTCACTAGCAAAAATATTTTTTTTTAACTAAAAAGTGAGAGAGTGGCAGATCATAAATGAGAGGATGATATAAGCCAATATGGTGTGGTGTGAAAGACATAGCTGGGCAGACAGAGAAAGGATTACCCCTCCCGAAGACTTCAAATTTTTACATCACCCCTTTACAAAGTTCACGATTTGAGATTGAATTTTTCTCATTTTACTAGGGCTTTTGGACCATAGTTGAATTTTTCATATTTAACTAGGAGTTTTTGTGGAAATCAACCTCCATATTTGCCCCTTAAACTTCCATTCTGCCCAGCTATGGTGAAAGGTGACATGAGAAATCGACACTCTGGACTTTTAGCCAAAATATTGGTTACACGTTGAAATTTTCTCCGAATTCTTCCCCCTCAGCTCCTTTCTACCGTGTTATTCGCTATGCTTACAAGGAGGTTGATTCAGTACCCTCTCTAACACCACCTTAAAAATGATTGAATTGAATCTAATTATAATTCTATCTAATTTCAGTTCAATTCGTTAAAAAATCCCTTCAAAAAATCCAATCGTTTGAAGTCAATTGTGAACATCATCGACTTGACGAAAATCAAGAAAAATATTGACACGTACACCAATTTTGCTGAGTTCCGTAACGATGTTCGTTGGATTGTACATAATTGTGTGATTTTATTCAAAGGTCCATATCAAATTATTCATCAACTTTTCTTTAAAATTCTGATTTTTGGTCAATGGTCAAATTTTGATTTTTTGACACACCATACTTTCAGCCAGATGAAGCAACTCAGGCAGCCGGTTCTAAAACGGAGTGAAAACAATAGAAGTAATAATAGTTAAAGTTATAAAAACACTTGTGTACAACAATCACTTCTATTGTTTTCACTTAATTTCAGTGCCGGACGATAGCTGCCTGAGGCCATCCCGCTGAAAATATCTCAATATAATGTCTGCTTTTTGATCATTGATTTATTTCAAATGGAGATATGCATTGTAGAGTTTTAAAAAGATAACATTTCAAACACTTATTCAAATCCGATTTTTTAGATGAAGACAAGAAGACGAAGTTGGCCCGTTCATTGTTGAATAGTATCACTTATGAAATAGACAACATTATAAATTGTAGCGAATGCTACCTAAATGCGAGCAAGTTTGCCAAAGATTGGTTCACAAAGGTCTGTTCTAAGACTCATGCATTAATTTGGGCAAAAGTCGAAGGTTACCCCTATTGGCCTGCCAAGGTGATGGCCGTGAAGGAGCCAATGATCCGTGTAGATTTCTTTGGCGATCATAGTCAAGCCAAAGTAATGGCCCGTAAGTGTTTTTTGTATTCAGAAGAAAGTCCAAAACCGTCACGTAACACAACCGAGGAATACGTGGCAGCATTGAAAGTAAGCTATTTTTCTTGCGTCAATTTTTCTTTAATAAAAATCAATACCTTGTTTTTCGGAGACTAAAAGTTCGTTAAAAATTGTTTCTGTTTCGCAGGAGACGGATGAGTACATTCAGAACTTACGCCAAAAATTCGGTTCATTTCGCTTCGCTGAATCAAAAACTGTGTTCAATCCAGCATTGCTCGATGACTACATTTCGAAAATGTGCTCTACAACGGTGAAAAAATCGGAAGTCCATAAGAGCGATAATCAAGTAGAATACGATCGACATGTCGATGATTCCGAAATCGAAATTCGAGCTAGCTCAAAGCGTAAGATAGATTCGGTGGTCGATGAGCCAGCAGTTCCTACGAAAAAGGTTCGATTCAGCGACGAATTTGGTGAGGTCCTTATGCAAGTGCATCTTATTGATCAAAGCGACGACTATCCCGATAGTATAGAGCAAGATAAATCAAGCAGCAATGATCCACAATCGATTGAATATTCATCGTCAGATGATGAAGACACTATAAGACAACGATTTTTTGGTTTCAAAGAGAAATCAAGCGACACTATGCAACCATCTGATCAAACCATTGACTCTGACAACGAATTATATATGACAGCTTCAGGTGAGATGCCAAGCGAAGAAAGTGTGTTTGATTGCGTTGAGCAAGAAATGCAGCAAATTCATGGAAACGGAACAGTTTCGGTGATCAATCACCTGACATCTGAAGAGGTGGAATGTGACATGGAAATGGCCGAACTTCGTGTACAAAATGCACAATTACAAACGGCATTGGTTGAAATGAAAAAGGCGAACCAACAATATTCTCTTGAGAACGCTGCATTAAATAAAGTCATCATGCAGTATACCCATGATACGGAAACATTGAAGAAGAACCATGCAAAGAGAGTGGCAGAAATTGAAATGCAGCTACAAAAAGTAATCGAAGAAAAGGTCTGTTTGCAGTCAGGTGACGAAATGCAGAAGGTGAAAACGGCCCGGTGCAGGGAATGCAACAAGAAGCTTGACAGAGACTACTGCAGTTTAATCTGCAAAAAACAGGGGTAATTCAAAAAATATTCACGTATGAACAACGGAACTTGATCGCTTTTCCGATTAATTGAGTTTGATTGATTGTAACATATTTTTGGAACACACGCTTTTTTGCAAAACGCTTAAAACGTTTAATAACACCGTACGACAAAAAAAAATGACTTACCAGTAAACATCCCCAGCGTTCGGAAAAATTTTCTCAAAATTCCCATTGGATGTGGTAGAGGGGTCCAAAAAAACAACTTTGGCATCAAAAATTTTTCCCCAAATTCATATGGGGTCTGGATACGCCCCCTTGAAGTGCCGAAAATCGCCTTTTTTGGGTGTTATTTTCGGTGAACTCTATCTCGTATATAACTAAAAATATTCGATTACTCTCTTCGGCAAAGTTGTAGCCCATAATGAGACGAAAAAAAAATGTCACCACAAGGGGGGTCAATGACCCCTCCTTGGGGGTCAAAAATGATCTCATAGGTTTATCCGAAATATATCAGGGCGATTTAGACCCCCCAAAGGTCAAATGGGGTCATATGTTACTTCCCATAAAAGTTGCGTCTATCAACCCACTATCCATTGACATATTGCTTTGACCCCCCCCGGGTGCCCCAATTCGGAGGGCACGGGTCAAAATTTTTGAAAAAAAGTGAAAAATGCCAAAAATGGGGTCTAATGCCCTCCGACCCCCCAAATTGACCCCATATTTGGATTTCTCGTACAAAATTACATTTAGGACACCTTACCCCCGACCACCCTCCAACCACCCCTTGTACCCTTAAATTGGGTCGAAATGTGAAAAAAAATCAATTTTTCATGTTTCCAATGGGATTTTGGCCTCTTGAAGGTCAAATAAGACAAAATGTTTCTTCGCACAAAAGTTACGTCTATCCATGTACTATCCATTGACATATTGTTTTGACCCCCCCCAGGAAGCCCCAATTCGGAGGGCACGGGTCCAAAATTCGAAAAAAGTACTGAATTTTGGAGAAAATCCCCAAAATGGGGTTAAATGCCCACTGATCCCCAAAATTTACCCCATTTTTGGATTCCTCGTAAAAAATTACCCTTAGGACACCTTACATTGTATGACCCTCCGACCAACCCCTTGTACCCTTGAATCGGATCGCAATGCGGAAAATACTATAATTCTTCATTTGTTCAAGCTGTTTCATTTATTTTATGCAAAAATAGTACAATTTGGTATTAAAAAACTATTTCGTGTCCATTTTGGTGTCATTCTGAAATGAAAAACAACAAAAAGCAATTAGT